ATGTGGTCGAGGTTTGAGTTCATTGAAGTGCACAAGTCTGATCAATCAAGAAAGAGATGATGCATGATGAACCGGGCACACAATCAATATAAGAACATCATCGACTAAGCCGTGCGGGAGGATAAAAGTTGAAGCGAGCGAGAGGGAGATAAGTCGCTAAAAAAACTGCGTGAGGAAGAAGCACAGCAGCTTGAAGAATAACAGCAATCACACAGAAGGGAGCCCAGGAAATCCGTCGAGCCAGGGCTGTATGGATCCGTTTTTGAGTAAACGACGGACCTACAATTGATTGCGGAGAGAGGTCGAAGGTAGTTTATTTTTCCAGTAAAATTCCAAGCCACACTCGTTCAATGACTTTCGAGATATCCGGATACAACGCATCCAGTTGGTTTTCGAAGGAGTTCAAAAGTAGTGGGAACTTATGCCAGTAACTCATCAACAGAATTGTGGTGGTGTCACCCAGTAGTGCAAGAGATTTTTCCGGTGTCCTAGGAGCTAGGTTTTTCTTGTAAGTAATTGGCATGACGTAACGAATGGACTGAGTAGAAAAGCACATCAGATACCGCGTGTTTATTATTTGAATTTATGAAATCGACTTGTCCTAATCATATATCTGCTGAGTTGGTCAATCGACATTGTCCATGTCTTTCGGTTCTTCGTGAAATACTGTCAACTTCGTGAATTCTCCTCTATCCCTCAATATAATTATCAATTTTGGTTTTGACTAAAATTGACATTTCAAACGACTATTACGAACACACCTGATCCAGACGGAGTTATTACTTGAGTTAACAGTGAATAAGCAAGTGGGAAGATCGGGTTTGTGCATTATTCAAAGGACTGACCGAAATTTTTCCGGAATCATCTGACCGGTTTTGCGATTCTTGTTCTTTGTCTGATTATTATTTTCGGTTCTTTCCTACCACATATCACTCAATATATTGAAACTTTGGACAAAATGGTATTCGTTTGGGGTTCAGATAAACTGGAGGCATTTAACGTTATCTACAATGTATATGCCCGTGGCAGCTACATTCGCAAAACTGAGGATAATGTTGTTACGCAGAGTATACTCTATTTGCGTGTGTACGCGAAGAACCGTATTAACAATTTGTATCACGATAAAATGTGCGAGTCAGCCATGAGCATGAGTCAATCAGCAATATACATTAAATGATCCATGAGTGTTCCGGACTTTTCAATACATCTGAACACTGTCCTTTAGCAATATTGAAATGATACTTACTAGCGTCTGGTTTGTGAAGCCGAATGGCTATGGCCTCAGCAAATCGTAACAGCCGCCCAGTTTTCTGTTGGCTTTGATGTTAAAGGATTTGTCATTGTGCCGATCAAACTTTCACAAGAATGTTTGCGCACAGCTGAAGAGATAACGTGAAACAGTTGAATTCAACCTGTCCAGTGACAATACTTGTTCTCGCTCTTATGAAATTACCAAAGGGAACTAGATGTGTGAAATGATGCTTAGGTTACAGAAAAAACACTTCAGCGATGATAGTTCGACATTTTCAAAAGGTTTTACCCAGTCATTTTCATCCGGGTTCTCGAAATAACAAGCTTTTCACTAAAACACAGTTTGTTTATGCGGTTACATTTGGAATTTTGCTGTCACTATACCACACTGTACGACATGTTTTGTCATTGAAAATAAATGGTTTCACCCACAAGCAGCACAACTGAACAGATCTAATCTCCGGTTGAATTGATTTTCCATTTTCAAATGAACTATTTAAAACTCTGTTCAATTGATGTTGAAATGATTACGGCAGACCATGATCACGTAATTCCAGATTCGAAAATTCTGAACTAGTTTCAATCGGATGGGAAATCGAAAGATCGTTCAGAATCTTGTAATAAATCAATAAATCTGTTGTCCGATCCTATAGGCGAGAGCGCTTGCGCNTGCGCGCTCACAGACAGATATATTGATCAGAACCATTCCAATGCAGCACTGTTTTTAAACGTTTGTCCGCATGCTCGAAGAACATAAATCGACCGTACTTTTTTGCAAGAAGCACTGTTTGACTGAATCTGAACATTTTTACAGGTAAACTACGATCTAGCATCCATCCACATTTGGAGAATTCTTAGCGAATATCCAATTTTTATGCGATGAGGTCATTCTAACATACGACGATTGGTACTAACGAGTTTGGATTGTAGATGCCTTTTTATAACGTTATAAACGAGTCAATAGCAAAGTAGAGTAGAGTCATCCTCTCGTCTGCTTTATATCAGATGTGTTTTCCCATTTTCCATTACACTGAATCGCTCAGTGAGACAGAAAGAGTGGGCACATTTCTGATTGATTGTTATTATCTGACAGGATAGAACGCAGTAAGCATTTGGGGGCGTATTAGGTAGATTAATCGCTGTGTGTGCATGCACACTGATTTTAACCTTAAAAAGGAGCAATGGTTACACGGCTTTATTGAGCCAAGTGGGATAAACAAATTCAGCCATGACGTTATTATTATTATTATTATTATCACTATTATTATTATTATACTGATCTTACTTTTGTGAGTTTGTTCCGTACAATGAAGCTGCACGATTATTTCGGTCTACTTGGTCGACTGGTCAATGTGGACACCAGATTTGAACCGAACGCGGAATTTCAAATTTTGCAACGAGTACAACACCTGGTCGAGGCGGTTCGACGTGCCGGTATGATGACCTATATGGCTCACAATCCAGTCTCTGTCGGTCCGTGGTCACCGTATCCGGCAACCACCTTCCCTGCAAACCAAATCCCGACTCTGAAAAATGGGAATTTCGGTAAGCCATTGACTCCGTTTCTTATTCCATCCACGCTAAAAATTATCAACTTACGTTGTGTTTAGTCCTGGAAGAAACAGGACAATTGTCCATTCAGCTTCTCCTTCACTGTGCGATTGTCGGCCAACACGCGTCTTATACTGATCAGACAAAATGTGCAATAGCGTCATTCAATATTCTTACTCACAACTCTGATGTGTTACGCTCCGTGCAAGTCGATTTTCAATCCATTCACGTGCATAGATCCATTGTTTGTGAATTTGCAAGTCCACAGGAACTCGGCAGCTCCTGGACCTATTGATGATCCACCCTTGGAATGTGGATCAGGATGGTTTTCACAACCAAACAGTGCGAGACAAAACTTACAAGAACGGTCAATTTTAATTAACCTCGGTAAAATAACATTCGCGAAGTGCGGCAAAATTATGAGGTCGCTCCAGAGATGACGGATTGTACGACGCGCACTGTTTTGGTATTTTCACCAAGATCCATCAGTTGATTATCTTTGACTGACATTCAACAATGAACCTACAGATATATATACTTTTGAGCCTCCCTGTCAAATAGCGCTATACAGAGTTGATCTGTCGTTTCACTTGTTTTTTTTTAACTTGTTACAAGTGGATTAAAAGTCGGGCCTTCAAGTGATTTACAATGCTTTGAATTGACCATCCTTAAGAATCCGACTTCACATAAGCATCAGTTCGTCCAGTTAACCGTAAACTCGCAAAGCATCAGACTGGAGTTTTATTCCTCTTAGAGCTCATCGCTAGCACGTACGTATCCAGCGTTCCATCCGGGTTTTGAACTCTGGACCGACCGCACGGAAGACCTGCATGTTACCATTGTGCCAATCACCTCCTGCCAGGGTTGACCAGAACTCACGTTTCTTTTACAGATTTCATCTTCCGAGTTCATCAAGCATGCTCGTCGGCCCGATATATATATATATATATATATATATATATATATATATTCACACACATCTGAATCCAGACTATGTGCCAAACAAACAATAGTTCAATAATGTTTATGAAAAAGAAAAACGTTCCACAATTTTCATGTGGGCGGAATACTACCAGGTAACTCAGGCATGTGAATTTTATTGGGGAATTCACAACTGGAGCCTTCGGCTAACCAAAGCCTGACTCACAAGGCACCGGAGCGGTGTGCGAAAACCGCAATCCATTTGGGGACCTGTGTCCAGTTCATCGGATTATATGCCCTTTGGACGGGGTCAAACATACAATGTGCTCA